GCCGGCTGACGCTCTATCCACTGAGCAAGCCAGCCAGGGCTGATGTCAGTTTTCTTATCTGTAAAATGGGATCTCCAATACAGCCTACTATGGAGACAAACACAGAGGCCTCCTCCAGGGGGGTGACCCATATCGACTCCATCAAGGGCATCCTTCAGGGTTTCATCTCAGTACATCCCCCAGCCCGAAGCTGCCCCCCCACGCACACAGGGGGCTCCCCAACCATTCCAGAGTCAGGCATGGAGGGCTTTAAGTCTCGCCCAAGTGCACTGCATGCCACAGTTTATAAAGTGCTTCCTCCGGGCCTTCCGCCGCCCTGCAGAGTTGGGTTCCTGTGGAAATCTGGCAAAGGGTCTGGCGGGCCCTGGCCCGCAGCAGGTGCTCACAGAATGAACTTTTAAACTCAAAGGCCTTTCTTACCAAACTACATCTGAAAAAAAGGTTCATTTTCCTGCCACACAGACCCCTAAGCCCGGAAGGCTCTGGCTCACAGCTAAGCTCTGTTGGGGTCGAAGGCAACTCTCCATCAAAAGCTAGAAAAAGTATTAGAGCAAGAAGGGTCTGTGGGTCCTCCCACATGGATACAGAGCAGGAGCAGGCCAAGGCCAAGGTCGGGTCAGGGAGGCAAGCCACCGACTCCTCTCTTGCTCATGTCTCCTCAAGTCGCTGGTTCCCAGAGGACAGATCCTGGGTCTTGACTTGGTCACGTCCCTGATCTCTCACCTCCGTTTCGGCTCTCGGGACGTAGCTTGAGTGGCACTGCCTCCAGGAAGCCTGCCCTGACCCCCTATGAGAGCTGGCTGCTCCCTTATTTGCCCACCCACAGCGCCAGGGTTTCTCCCACTAGGATACTAAGTAAAGTTTCTGTCAAAGTTTAACTCACAGGCATAGAAGTGCAGACCTTACGTGTGCAGCTCAATGGGTTGTCCCAAAATGAACAGCCTGCGTAGACAGGAGGGGGTTGGCACTGGGTGGGGTGGGGCTGCAGGAAGCCATTGAGATGGGCTCCTGAAGTTACATGGTTTGGAAACTGACTGAACAGACAGCCTCAGGGGGCAAAACCCCTACCACAGGCATGCCCGCCACTGCCTGTCCTGCCCAAGCACCCCCACCCACCCACTCCTCCTGCAACAAGCAAAGGCAGGGCCCTGGGTCCTAGGCCAAGGCCAAATAGCAGCGCAGGGCCGGCTGGGCAGGGGCAGGTCTCGCCGAGAGAGGGGCTCTCCTAACATGCCTCGCTTGCATCTGCCTCCGGGCAGGTGAGGAATGAGGGGAGAGGGCCTGGTGTACCTCAGGCAGCCCTGCTTTCCCTGAATGACAGCATGGCCTCAGAGTCAGCGCCCCCCACCCCCACCCCCCCCAGCCCAGCCCCCAGGGATCTAGTCCAGATGCAGGTGTCGGCCAGAATCCACATCCGCCAGGGCAGGTGGAAGGCAGGAGGGCTTGTTTCCTCTGCTTGGCCGACCTCGGCTCTCCTCCCCCACCCCACCCCCCGTACAGACTCAGTGCTGGACAAGCAGAGGTCCCTTGGTCTTGGCTCAGTACAGGGATCCCATTCTTGGACTTCAATTCTCAAGAGACAGAGGCCTCACAGCCTCACAAGGGCCCCCATACTCTGGCCATGCAGCCCTGACACAGTAAAAGCCACCACTTTTGGCAACTTCTTATGGGCCAGGCACTATGTCACCCTTACTTCACAGTGGCTCCACGCAGGAGGGGTAGTTATCACCATCCCCATCGTGCAGACACGGTAACTGAGGAGCAGAGCCATTGTCTGGCTTAGAATCATGCACAGAAAGGTATGTCCTCCGCCGAAACCGGTTTGGCTCAATGGATAGAGCGTCGGCCTGCGGACTGAGAGGTCCCAGGTTCGATTCCGGCCAAGGGCATGTACCTGGGTTGCGGGCGCATCCCCAGTAGGAGATGTGCAGGAGGCAGCTGATCGATGTTTCTCTCTCATCGATGTTTCTAACTCTCTATCTCTCTCCCTTCCTCTCTGTAAAAAATCAATAAAATATATGTTTAAAAAAAAAAAAAAAAAAAAAAAAGAAAGGTATGTCCTACCTCGGTCCAGTAGGAGAGCAAGAAGCCATGACACCTCCATAGCAATGAGCACGCCCAGCAACCAGATCTTGGTTCCTAAACATCATCCGCCAATCAAAGGAACCACACACCTTAGAGAAACGGCCGATTCCACCCCGGAGGCAGGGAGGCTACAAGATGAGCTTGGAGCATCTTGTAGTGCCAGGAAGCAAGGAAATGCTCAAAAAGCAAAAGGATGGGAGGATGTCACACAGACACAGGAGCTCATCGGAAAGCGCGCCCAACGGCCAACACTGGAACAGTTTACACAACGAAGTCAGTACCTTGGTGTGGAATTATAACCCAGAGATAAGATAGATAAATTCACGGGCCCACGCTGATAGAAATAAATGATTGGTTGAATACATGGGGGCGGGGGCCATATCTTTCTTTCAAGAGAATTCCAAATAATATACATAGATCCATCCTCCAGAAGGCAGGGCCAGCCCCCCACCCCACCTCACACACACTTCAGCGGGGGCTCCACTTGCCTCCAAGGAACAAAGCCTCACCAGTTTGGCTCAGTGGATAGAGCATCAGCCTGCGGACCAAAGGGTTCTGGGTTCTTTTCGAGTCGAGGGCATGTACCTTGGTTGCAGGCTCCTCCCTGGCCCAGGCCCTGGTCCTGGTCGGGGCTCATGCAGGAGGCAACCAATTGCTGTGCTTCTCTCACATCGATGTTTCTCTCTGTCTCTCCCTCTCTCTTCCACTCTCCCTAAAAATCAATGGGAAAATATCCTCGGGTGAGGATTAACAACAACAAAAACCTGGCAGACACCAGCTTAACCATGTAATCAAGGTTAACATACCAGTAAGAAGTCACATGCCCCCTGAGATCATGTGACGAGAAAGGCACTGGGCCTGTGGTATTCTTGCCCCAAACCCATAACTCCTGTCTAGTCACGAGAAAAACATCGGATAAACCCAAACGGAGGGACAATCTAACAAAATACTGACCAGAACTCCTCAAAATCGGCAAGCTCATGGAAAACAAGGGGAGGCTGAGAAGCTGTCACAGGCCAGGCGAGACTAAACGCAGTGCGGGCTCCTGAACTGGGTCCTGGACAGAAAAAGGACGTTTGTGGAAAAACTGGTGAAATCCGAATACAGTTGGGAGTCAGCTAATAGTCATGTACCGATGTTGGTTTCTTAGTGTTGACAACTGTTCCATGGCAATGGAAGATGTTGACAGCAGGGAAAACTCGGAGGGGTGTATGGAACTCTCTGTACAATCCTTGCAACTTTTCTGTAACTAAAAGCTTTATTTTTTTTAAAAAAATCACATGGGGAATAAACATCTGAACCAGAATTGAAATTCCAGTGTGCCCGCCTCCTTAGCCCACACACTCCACCCTCCTGAACCACCTCAGGTTAGAAAGGGACCCCCAAAGGTTTCTACATGGGCGTGAGCTTCTCCCCATTTGCCCATGTTTGCCCTCTGGGACCCCCCAACTCGAGTTTTCTTTGCTCCACCACCTCCTTGAGAGGGCTGAAGGGCGCTCCCATCCCCCCAAGGGTTCTCTGTTCCCTGGTCCCTCCACTCTCTTGGGAGACTTGGATTCCGATGAGTTGGCCTCCCCAGCATTTACCCTTCCTTTGCAACAGCCACTGATTCCTCTTGCGGATCCATTCAATTTCAGGGCAGACAATTCCCTAATCTGGCTCCAGGGATATAGAGCACATGGCCTAGCCTTAGGTCCATCAGCACACACCACCCCCTGGCTTCCGTGATCAGCCCAGAGGTAGCCATGTAATCCAAGCTCGTCCAATCAGAGAGGTCTTCGAGAAAGGGGATGGTGGGGGAGACAATTCTCTTCTTCCATGTTGGATGTGAATGAAGAAGCCCCTCAGAGCCTGGCCAGTGTGGCTCAGTGGTTGAGCACCGACCTATGAACCAGGAGATCATAGTTTGAGTCCCAGTCAAGGTACATGCCCAGGCTGCAGGCTAAATCTTGCAGTGGGGGGTATGCAGAAGATAGCCAATCAATGATTCTCTCTCATCATTGATGTTTCTCTCTCTCCCTCTCCCTTCCTCTCTGAAATCAATAAAAAAAAAATTTTTTTAAAAAAAGAAGAAGCCCCTGGGAGCCTTAGGATAAAGTTGACACCAAGAATAGCAGAGTAGAGAATGTAAAGAGTTGAGTCCTCAGTTAGAACAATGAGCCACTGGATCGAGCCTTGCCTGAAGTCCACCTTGACGCTACACTTCTCAGATATGAGAACCGTGGTAGACAGATAAATAGTCTCCCAAAATACATCCACATTCTAATGCCTAGAACCTATGAATGTCATTTCATATGACAAAAAGAAAAAAAAAGGCATGGGTCATTGTAGATGGGACTTAAGACTTAAGAAATATAAGGTGGATTTAAGTTAAGAATTAAGAATCCCGGTGGGCCCCAAATGCAATCACATGTATCCTTATAAGAGGGAGGCAGAGAAATATTTGACATAGACACACAGAGAAGGCAATGTGACCACAGAGGCAGAGGCTGGAGTGATACAACAGCCAGCCTAGGAATGCTGGCAGCCACCAGAAGCTGAACTAGGCCAGGGACCCTTCTCCCCAGAGCATATCTCCACTCCAGACACCTGGACTTAGGCCCAGTGATGCCAATTTCAGACTTCTGGCCTCCGGCACTGTTGCTTTACATCACCTACTTCGCAGGAATTTGTTACAGAAACTGTAAGAAACAAGTGCAAGAACTAATACATTCTCTTTACTATTTAAGCCTATTTGAATCTGCTCTTTTGCTAACAGCAGCCCAAAGCAGTCTAACTGATACGCAGCCCTCTCTCACCCTCCTCTGGTTAAGAGGGGAACTATACAAGGGGAAATCCCCAAGGGGAGGCAGCCCGAGACCTTCCTGATCTTTAGCTGGGGAAGTGGGGCGTCGGATGGCTCACAGACTCCAAGCAAAGGCATGATGGGAGTTTATTTACAGACAAATCACAACCAGGACCCACACAGGCTCTGACCAGAAGACCCCAGATACACAGGCTGCAGGACCCATTAGTACCGGAGCCTTTCCCTGCCAGGCCCCTGGTGAAGGGACCAAGAGTCAGGCAGGGTCAAGGACACGGAAGACAGAGGGCCCCAATCCTTGCCAGATATCAGAGGCCCCCTGTTGCGGCCCCCATGCCAGCGGAAGGAACCGCCCTCGGCCCTGAAGAGCGGGCACCGAGAAGCAAGGGAACAGCTGTCCCCTCGATGCCGGGCCACAGAGCAGAAGTCCCAGCAGCAGAGGCTTGGGGAACGGAGACACTGCAGGTCCCCCCCAGACCTGTCCCGGAGCGGGCACGGAGCGGGGGTCCCGGCCACGGCTGCCCGTCACGCAGGGGGCTCCCCCAGTTTGCTGGTGGCACTCGTGATCCGCTTATTCTCCCGGAGGTTTCGGAGGCGGGCACTGAGGCTGCTGATCTCTTCCACGTAGGCCTGGGGCACCCACCCCTTCTCGCCGTCTGCCAGGCGGACGCCCTCCAGCCAGCCTGGGGCACACAGGACAGGTGCAGCATCAGTGGCATCCGAGGGACACCAGGGCCGGGTTGCGAGGGGACGCCGAGGCCAGTGATGGCAAACCTATGACACGCGTGTCAGAGGTGACGCGCGAACTCATTTTCTTGGTTGATTTTTCTTTGTTAAATGGCATTTAAATATATAAAATAACTATCAAAAATATAAGTCTCTGTTTTACTATGGTTGCAAAGATCAAAAAATTTCTATATGTGACACGGCACCAGAGTTAAGTTAGGGTTTTTCAAAATGCTGACACGCCGAGCTCAAAAGGTTCGCCGTCACTGGCCTAGGCCCTGTTGCAAGCCTCGTCTGCACCCCTGGGGCCGCGGTGACACCATCTCAGCGGTGACACCATCTCAGCGTCTCCCAGCCCCAGGAAGGACCCTGCCTCTGGCAGTCTCGTAGAGGAACTTCTGACCTGTTTTTCCCGACATCCTCAAAGAAGGGTGTTTCCCGCTCTCCCCCGCCAGTCACTCTCAATCCTACATCTTTACAAGTAGGAAGTTCCTCCTATTGTCTAACTTCATTCCTGCATGCTGTGGCTGATCAACACTTGCGTAACCTTTCCCTGTGATGTCGTAGCCATCTAGCTACCTCCTGCCCATGAGAGCGCCACCGGGAGGCCCTCCCAGGAGGCCCCTCTCACCATCACTGGTCCGGGTCCTCACTGCCAGGATGTCAGTCTTCTCCAAGGTCAGCTCGTCTGGCTGCAGGGCCTTGTATGTCCGGACACACTGGACCTGGGGGCGGTCTGACAGCCCAAGAGAGACTGAGAGTCCCCAAGGCATGATGGGGTGGGCAGGGAGGGGCAGAGGAGGAAGTAAGGGGGCGGGAGGGTGGCCGCTGCTGCTTCTTTTCCTCTACCCCTCCCTAACCCACCATGGCTGCTCTTCTCTCTTACCCCTAAACACAAGCCCCATGAGTCCAGTCCCTCCCAGCTTCCGTTACTGTTGCTGCACCCAGGGCTCTCTCCTCCCCAGATCAACACCTTGTCCTGACCTCCAGGGCAATGTCCAACTGCCCACCGGAAACCCCCCACAAAGCAGTAATGGCCCCTTCAATTGCCCCCTAATGCTCCCTGGTGCTCCCTCCAGACCATCCTCCTCAACTGGGATTCAAGCCACATCGCTTCCTGGTTTATAACCCTCCAGGGCTCCCTGCTCCTCTTAGAATAAAATCCAAAGTCCTCCCCACAGCCTACAAAGCCCTGTGTGGTCTGGCATGGCCCCCTTGCTAACCACCTCTCCTTCCCTCTTCTTTCCCACTCCCCCTCGCTCATGAAGCTCAGCCACACTGCTCACCCTGTTCCCAAACGCTCGAGCTCCCACCTGCCTCAGGGCCTTTGCACTGGCTGTCCCTCCTCCCAGGAGTGCTCTCCCCCAGATCTTTTCATCTCCTCCTGCCCCTCCTCATCTTTCAGGGGCCTTCCCTGAGCACCTCTTTAGAATGGGAAGCTCACCCCCCAACCTGAGCAGGATTCCTAGCTCAAGCCAGAGAATCTGTACCGGTCCAGGCCTTCAGCTCTTCCTATCACACTAGATGGGCTGGTTGTATTGGGAAAACCACACAGGTCTGACTCGAATCTCAGCCCTGCCGCTTGCTAGTTGGGTGAACTCAGACAAGTCACCTTACCTCTCTGAATCTCTGTTTTCTAACCTGTAAAATGGGCTTCTATGGGGATGAAATGGGAGGATATAAAAGGCTTTGTCACCTCCAGGGTGCTGTCTGTGCACGTGGGGGTCGGCCTGTCCTATGTGAATTCTGCCCATCCTTCAAGGTTCTGCAGAGCTACCCCTGACTCCCCCGGGCAGCTGATCTCTCTCCCTGTAGCCCCGCTGGCCACCTGGCACCCAGAATTGGAGGGAAGGGGGAAAACAAGGTACCCGGCCCAGGGGATGTGGGCCTTCGAGGGAGGAGGGTGGCAGCTGCTACCTTCCCCCTCGCTGATGACCTCCTTGTCTTCCTGGGGGCTGGAGGGGCACATGGCAGAGATCCACCGCTGCTTCTCACTTCTAGAAAAGGGAGGCCAAGTGATCACAACATGCAAACTGCATTTTCCCAGGGCCAAGATGGTGAAACAGCTGGGAAACAGGGTATGATCCAGACCCACCCAGGTCACATATGATGCCCACCCCAGGACTCACCTCACAGCCCTGTTCCCACAGCCCTGTGCCCTACTCAGCTCTGTGCATAAGAACAGAGCAACCCCAGCCCCCCCGACCCTCCCCGGGTGCCAGCTCTGCCCAAGTCCTGCCTCATGCGACTGTCCTGAAGCCAGAGAGAAAAGGCCAGTACCTGCCTGGGACGGGTCCTCTCTCCCCAGCCCCCGGCCCACTCACTCCGTGCGGGCCCTCAGCAGGAACTGGTGCTTCGTGTGCTGCCCGTGCAGGAGCTGAAGGAGGAACACGTGGCCAGGGATGCCCTGGGGCTTCAGGCTCAGGTCCTTCACCTGCAGCTCGGCCATCTTGGCGTGGACAAAAACGGCAAACTTGCCCAGCCTGCAGGGCCGGGGAGGCGAGGTCAGCCTGGCCAGTGCCCAGGCCTCCAGGCTCCACCCTCAGGACCAGACAAGTTCTGATTCAAGGGAGAAGGGGTTGGCTGCCCCTCTAGCACCCTCCCCCAGGAAACTCGACTGCGCAGGGCACCACCTCCCTGGCAGCCAGCAAAGTCCGCACGAGGAATTGGGAACTCTGTTCCTACCAGATCACTGGCAGGTGGAAGGTGAGACCAGCCTCTGACCCCAGGCATGTTGTCAACTTCTCTCTGAGCCTCTGCCCTGAGCCTGTCCTAAGAGCCAACTGGGCAGCAACTCTGATGAGACCTCGGCTCTGTCTAGGGGGGTCTCGCATCAGACACACTGGGGCTCCTCCTGACCCCTGACTATCAGCTCCAAGAAACTGACAGTAGTAAGGGAGCCTACTTACCAGGGAAATATCTAGAGGGCACCAGGGAGTAATCCACATAGCACGCCTGGCACAGAACAGGCGCACCGTGAATGCTGGCTGTTCTCATTGTGACTCGGGGAAGAGTTGGGACTCCAGGGCTGTGCTCTGATTGGCTTAAGCTCAGAGCAGCTTCAAATCCTTTGTACATAGTCCAGCCCTTGATTCTAGAAGATGAACTTGCCTTTCCTGCTGGAGCCTCCCAGGCTCAGGGTGCCCTGGCAACACCGTTCGGTGCAGGCGGGGGCTCCCAGGCCCAGGGATGGGCTGGCCGTTGGGCCCATTCATGGGGAGGAAGGGAGCCCAGCTCCAGTCTACCTCCCCCGCACCGTGCCCCGACTCACTCCTTCCGTCGGGAGAGAAGCAAGCAGTCATTGAAGAGGTGCAGGTAGACCGCCTTGCTGGACAGCTTCAGCTTGGCCGGGGGCGCCGCGGGCAGAGGGGCCAGCTCCACCAGCTCCCCGTGCCGCACCAGCCAGCGGGCCTGGGAGATCAGTGGGAAGATCTGGGCGGAAGGAGAAGGCAAAGAGGGAGAACACGTCAGACCCGGGCAGCAGGGCAGAGAGCACCGGCAAGGGGGGGGGGGGGGGCGGGCGGCGAGGGACTGGCCTGCAGCCCCAGGGAGGGAGGGAACAAGAGCTGCCCTTGGCGCACCCACCCGCCCGCTGGGCGTGCACCTTGCCCTCAAAGTGGATCTTCTTGCTGAGGTGGATGAGCTCCTCCGTCCTCTTCATGGACTGCACACTGGCGTTGCACTCCTGCACCAGCTGGGGAGGCCAGGGGTGGGTCACCTGCAGCCCCACGACCCCGCCTCCCAGAGCCCAGCCTCGGACGCCCACCTGGGGGCCTTCACAGACACACCGGGGCTCTGGGGAGGCCCTTGGGAGCCAGCAGGCCCCTGCCCTGCCCAGCTCACCTCCTTGAGCGCATTGAAGGCCTTGGTGGCCATGTCTTCGTCTTCAGAGCCCTGTGCTGTCCGCTTCAGAATGTTCTGGAGGGTGGGGTCGGTTCAATGCGGCAGGCCATGGCCTCCCCCCGTGACCCTGCCCACCCATGGTGCCCGCCCAGAAGGGGCTGTGGAGGTTCACAGTGGCATCTCCTTGGCCCAGCCCTCACTGCTGCCTGTGCCCTGCAGGTACCTCCACCAGCATCTTGAGGCGGGTGATCCTCTGGAACGGCAGGATGAGGAAGGAGGTGAGGGGCAGGCGTTGGCACACGGGAGACTCCTCTAGGCGAGCCAGGATGCCAGGGAACTTGGGGTTCTCCAGGCTGGAAGTTGGGGAGGGGCCTGGGGTCACAGTTGGGTCTGAACTCCTGGGATCCATGACCCAGCCACCCCGTGGTTCTTCAGGTGCTTTCTCAGCACATCCTTCCTGCACTTGGGTCACAGAGCCCTTTACAGGGACCCCCTCCCTCACAGGCCACCCTTCCGCACCCAGTCCTCCACGCCTACTCCCACCGAGAACCTCTCTGTCCTCCCCCCTTTCCGAGGCCCCAGCCCTACAGCAGGCGCTGGTAGGTGCGCTCCTGGTAGGCCTGGTTGGTGACGTAGGGCAGGTAGACCCGGCGGAAGGCAGGGCAGTGGTGCAACACAATGTCACACACGCTGAAGCGCAGGACATCTGCCTCCAGTCGCTGCTCCAGGTCCTGCAGGAACCTGAGGGGTCAGCGAGGGGTCAGCGACAAGGTGAGACCCCAGGCCTAGGAGCCGCACCAATCTCATCCCCGCCCCCCACCAGGCCAGGCCAGTCCCTTACCTCTCGCTGGTGCTCTTGACCTCGGGCAGTTTGGAGAACAGCCATTGCTTGTCCTGCGCCCCCAGACACTCACTCAACTCAGCTGAGCCCAAGAAGTGGCCTACGGCCACCGACAGGCTGTGGATGTATGAGGCCTCGGACGTGATCAGCTCAAACTTGGCCTGAGCAAAGGCAGACGAGGGGTTGAACCGCCAGACTGGCCCACCCGGACGCCTTCTCTTGGCCCTGGACACCACCTCTTGTCCCCCATCCCTGATCTGGTGCCTGGTGGGGTTCAGGACCCATCTCCTGCCCAGCACAATTGTTCAAAACAGACTGGAGCCCTCGATTGAGCCCCTCGCCCTGGGCTTTGGGCCCTGCCGGTCATCCGATGGCCCCGCCCTCTCTGACCCGCCCCTTCTCTAGGCCCCGCCTGGTCCCCCGCCCACCACTCGGTTTCGTTAGGGTTGCCTCTGCAGCTTCCCGGTCCAGGCTTTCAGCGATCCCTCCCCCTCTGGCCCTGCCCTGCCCTACCCTAGGCCTCGCCCCCGTGGACCCCGCCCCTTCGCCCCGCTTCTCCACTGGCTTTCGGCTCCGAGGCTCCTCCGACTTCTCCAGCTGCCAGCCCCGCCTGGTCAGGTCCTAGCAGCCACCTGGGCATTGCCCGTCCCCTCGGTCCCGCCCTCTGCAGTTTGCAGTCCTGCCGGCCCGGGACCCCTGTGGCCCGGAACCGCACTAAGTCTCCGGACCAGGTTCTCCTGGCCCCGCTCCATACAGTCACCCCAACCCCTCTGCGCCTCAGGACCCCCTCCCACGACTGGCAGCTCCGCGGGTCCCGCGCGCACCTCCTGCAGTTTGCAGTCGCGCAGGCTCAGCGTGGCCAGGACGCCGCTGCCCCGCACGTCGGGGATGTCCTGCCAGAGCGAGAAGGTGGAGCCTCGCGCCGAGCGCTGCGCGCGGAAGGAGCTGCTGGGGGAGAGGTTGGCGCGCGGCGGCCCGGGCCCCTCCTCCGCGCCCTCGGCCTCGTCCCCCGGGCCCTCCTCCTCGCGCTGCTGCCGCCGCAGCTCGCGGGCGCTGGCCACGTCGCTGTATTCCTGGTAGAGGACAGCTGGGCGGGGACAGGGCGGGGAGCGCTGTGGGCGCCCGCCTGCCGCGGCCCGGCTCCTCCCGGCCCCCCAGGGCCCACCTCACTCAACAAGCAGCGGGACAGTGAATTCACTCATTCATTCATTCATTCATTCATTCATTCACTCACTCACTCACTCATTCCATAAACACTGCTTGAGCACCAGCTGCATGCTAGCCCCGGAGCTGGGGACTGAGATTCCGTTCTCTCCCTCTCAACTCTCGGAACCCCAGCTTCCCGGCTTCCCCGGACCCGCAGCCCCTTCCTCCACCGCCCCCTCCTGCGTACAGTTAAGGAGGAACCGTGACTGTCGTCGCTCGCTGGCGCTTCTGGAACCCTGAGCCGGCTCTTCCTGCGATTCCAGCCTAGAGAGAGAGAACGTCGGGGCTCCGCCGCGTGCGCCCCGGCCTCAGACCCGACCCTGGGGGGAGAGGTGCTACCTGGACGCGGGCCCGCTGCCGTGGCTCCCGCTGGGGTCCACAGGGGCTGCCATCGCCGCGCCGTCCACCCTCATCTCTGCGCTACGCGGCTCCCTGCCAGACGCTTTCCCTGGAGAAGGCGAGAGCGGAGGGTGGGTGGCCCTGGGCAGCGGGGCGCCACACTCCAGCTGACCAGCACCCAGCCTCGCGTGTCCGGTGCGTGAGCCTTGCTCCACCCGGCACCTGGCTCCCGGGCTGCTCTGAGGGCCAAGGGGAGGAGCAGGTACCTTCCCGGGCTGCTCCAGCGCCTGCCCCTTGGGCCAGTGCTCTGGCTGCGGAGTGCCGCCCCAGGCGCAGGGAAGAGTGCAGCCGGGTCATCAGCTCAGAGGCCGAGAAGCGCCTCCGCTCCGGCCCCTCCAGGCCCCCTCGGGTGGGCCCCGCCAGCTCTAGAGGCCGAGGCTCCTCTGTGCTCAGAGGCGGCTCTGCCACCTGGCCAGGCTCCAGGAAGACAGCATGGGCCTCGGGGCTGCCAGGGGCCTCTTCGCTCTGGTACACCCGCATCTTGCGCCCTGCAGGTGGGGTGAGAGCACAGGCTGGCGACCGCGGAGGTCTCTCCCACCTCCTCTCTGCCGCTGCCCTGTGGCCCTGAGCATCTAGGCAACATGCCCAAGTGAAAGGGCAATGCGTTTACTGAGAGCTGGTCCCCCGAGAAATGAAATCAACAAGAGGGGCAGAGGGAACACAGTGCCTGGCTGCAGTGGGCAAAGGGTGGGCAAAGGGCCACGGTGCCCAGGACAGCCACTCACTTGCTGTGTGACTGCAAAACAAGGCATTCCCCGTCTCCCTGAGTTTCAGTTCCCTATCACGAAAACCTACCACTCGTCCTGCCTGTTTTGGGGGATTCTGGGGCTTAAGAGTCCTAAAGAGCCACGCAACCTCTCCCCTACTCACCCCCCTGGGCTACCCCCACCCCCCACCCCCCACACCCCCATCACCCAGAGTGACTCACAGGCTGACTTCTTCTCCGAGCCATGGCTGGCCCGGCGCTGAGGCTGTGGGTGCTGGGGACTCCAGGGTCCCTCCAGAGGTGGGGGCTGGGCACTAGGACAGTGTGGCCAGCTGCCAGCCCTGCTGGGCCGCATCCCCCCACTGGGAGAGATCTCGGTGTCTGGGATTCCTGGGGACGGTGACCATAGCAGCCCTTGGAGAGGAGCAGGGGTCCCCAGGGACCAGCGGCTGCCAGGAGCCTGCAGCTCCTCTGGGGTGACAGGGAAGAGATCCAGACACACAGAGCTTGGGGGCTGCAGGGCGGGCAACTCCACAAAGGACAGACTCTCCTGCTGGCACACAGCTACTGGGTGGCAGGCAGTACCAGGTGGTCCAGCCAGGTGGGGCTGGAGGGTGGCAGGCGGCCCACAGTCCATTCCTCCTTTGCTCTGCCAGTCACCTGGGCCTGGAGGGGAGAAGATATCAGAACCAGACACGGGACAGCAGGGCTGGCCAGGAAGCCACCACGTGCTGGAGGCCTGGACAAACCCTTATGTAGACATGTGTACACACATGTGTACCAGCTCGCTCACACACCTAATGATACAGGAATCGCTAATACTTACCTGGCATTTAATGAATGACAGGCCAGGAGCTTTATACATTGTATCTCATCTAATCCTCACAACAACCCTGAGTTGATGCTATTATTACCCCCATCCTATAGGTGAGGAAAGTGAGGCGCAGAGGTATTTGGTGAATGGTGGAACCGGGATTCAAACCCAGGCCGTCTAGCTTCTGAGTCTGTGCTTTTAACCACTTCGTGCATTTTCTTACTCTGACATATGAGCAGATACACAGATACATACACTGTCATGTACATCCACACACATTTCTCCCAAGTACACACACACTGACATACACAACTTCACAGATACACTCAGACCTTCACATTCACAGGCTCACACATTCACACACTTCTTTACACAACTACACATTTTCACACACAGGGACCCGTCCGCTATTCACATGTCCACTCCAGCTTTCTCCCACTCCTGTTCCACTCACACGCACACACCAGGATGCAGACACAAACACGCAGGCCTAGGAAGTCCTGGCTTTGGTGTTACCCAACCTCCCTTCCCATGCCCAGAGTTGCAGCTTTCTGTGCTGAGTGGTGCCCACACCCATGCCAAGCTGGCTGGGAGAGTCACAGACTGGCAGGCGCGCCACCAGGCAAATCAGGCTGGGCACTCCCAGGAGCAGGATAGGGAGGGGTCCCGGCCCCCCAGCTTGGGGTGAGAAGGGTTTCTTCCCCACCCCGGCTCCCAGCCCCAGGATCAGGCTAGGCTGGACGGGTCCTCCCTGCATAGGAAGTCACCCCAGGGAGACTGCTGGAGCCCCGGGACAGGCCTAATGACCCAGGGGTCCAAGCCCCCACAGCCCTGGCCCTCTGCCGGCGGCCCTCCTGCGCCCCTCACCTCTCCAGCTGAGGCTGCTGCTGATGGTCGGCGCTCCGGCAGGGGAAGCCCTCTCTCTGCCCAGCTGGCTGGGGGAGATCCCACCCAGACAAAGAGTTTGATTCATCAAACCCTGTGGTGAGGCAAGCGGTAGGGAGGGAGGGAGGGAGCAGGCAGCGGCTGGGCGGGGGCCTACCCTAGCCTGGCCTCGCTGTGGGCAGGCGGGGCAGCGAAGACCCCCCCATCCCCAGAGGCCCCTCAGGCCAAAAGGGCAGTGCCCAGCCTGGCAGGGCCAGGAGGCCCCGGCGACAGAGACGTGGAGAAACAGAGACCTTTCAGCGGCAGCTGAGACACTGAGACCCAAAGTGCGGAGACGGTCAGGGACGCAGAGATGGAGACAGTGACGCTGACAATCTCAGACAGACCGGATGCTGTGAAGCCCAGAAAAACCCAGGGAGACAGATGGAGGAACATGTCGTGCCCTGCGGGGCTGCCAGTCCAGTAGGGGAAGCCAAAAACAAACACAGTTACAAGCCAGGTTGGCAAAAGCAGAGCCAGAGGGACCATCAGAGCAGGGTGCTGGGCTCGACTGACCTGCGCTTTCCAGGAAGGCTTCCTGGAGGAAGTAAGCGCTAACTGTTCTGACTGAAATATCTAGGGACCAATACACAGAGATTAGGGAGAAAGCCTTGGCCTGAGAGAAACAGTGACCGTGTCAGTGACCCTGGAAGGGAGAGAGGACCCAGTGCGGACAGCTGCATCTGGTACTGGACCCCACACTCTCTGCACCCAGCCTCTCAGCTCTTTTTTTATTGATTGATTGACTGATTTCAGAGAGGCAGGGAGAGGGAGAGAGAGATAGAAACATCAATAAGAGAAAATCATTGATCGGCTGCCTCCTACACACCTCCTACTGGGGATGGAGCCTGCAACCCGGGCATGTGCCCTGACCGGGAATCGAACTGTGATCTCCTGGTTCGTAGGTCAACCTTCAACCCCTGAGCCACGCCAGCCTGGCACTTTAGCTTGTATATTAAACCTCTGTCCATCTAAGCAAGTCTCTCAGTTTCCTCATCTGGTAACTAGGATAGTCATGCCAAACACTAATATGAGAATTAAGGATAATATAGTAGGAGCTTTGTCATTGATAGTCATTCTTCTGAGTGTTATTAGTCTTTCTCCAGTCAGGGGCTATCACACAGATGGGGAAACTGAGGCAGTGAGGGTGAGACATACTCTACTTTGTAGAAGCATCTGGCAGGAGACAGGGGACCACTGTCCACTCAGATCTCTTTCTCTCCAGGAACCAGAAGCCCTCAACACAGAAGTCCCACTTGCTTCTGTGGGCACAGGCATGCAAGAACACTCGCATGGAAGAACACACGCATGCAAGAACACACGCATGCCCCCGCTTCCTTGTATTCTGGGAGACTTTCTCCACTTGGGTTCTGCAAGCTCCTGAAGGGCAGGGAAGAACCACCCACTCCCCTGTCAGTTGCAGAGATAAATGAGCAAAACATGGCGCCCTCGGGGCAGGAACACCCCTCCTGAAGCCTCAGGGGAGAAGGCTGGGTGGTGGAAAGCTTTCTCAGGGGAGAGGGGCTGGAGGCAGGTCTCTAGGGGGGAAGCAGGGTCCAGGCCAAGTGGCATCAGGAATGACCCATCTAGCTCGGCTGCTGGCCCTGTGACCTTCCACTCTACCTCAATGCTGGGAACCCAGGAGGGGCAGAACTGTGTTTATATTGTGTGTAGCTCATCTCTGCTGGAAAAGAAAAAAGCTTCAAGAAGAGAACTGGCCAAGGGAGCAGGGATATTACCTGCCCAAGACATGACCGCAGGAGACTCTAGTGCCCACTCGGCCAGCCACAGTCCTTCTGGAACCCGCAGGGGGAAACCCCTGCCAAGGTTCAAGGCCGTGTGGACATGAACAAGTTGTGTGGCCCTAGGCAAGTCTGTCCCTGGGCCTCAGTGTCCCCATCTGTAAATCAGGCCCCTCCGCAGGATGAGAAGGATGGTCAGGGGCCCAGAGTCCATCCAGTGGGCACTGCTAATCACAGGACAATGGATCCACTTGGCAAGGCTGGCAGAGAGGGTCTCTGGGCACTACCATAGTCTAGGGAAAGCCCCTCTGGCCTCCAGTGCCCAGCTTTTCCCTGCCCCTTCCCTAGTGCCGGTTGCCCTGGTGCCCAGAGGAGTAGGGACCCAACAAGGCCCCTCAGCCCCTAAAGGGACAAAGCCAAGCGGAAGGTCATGGCTGGAAAGGGGATCCCGGCCCAGCAGGCTGTGGAGCCCCAGGAAGCCACAGTGAGTGCGGCGGGCAGCACAAAGGACTCCCTCTGGAAGACTGGCGGGAGAAGGATGGGCTGCTGGCAGCCGGGTGGGGCCCTACCTCAGCCAGGGAGCTCCTTCCGGTCCAGCCTCCGGCCCGGTCCAGGGCTCCAGGCCACCCTGGGGGCTCTGGGGTTGCAGCCAGGTCCTCAGGGGGCGATGTCAGCATGGCCCCTAAGCCTGGGCAATGCAAGCTCCTGGGTATTGTGTGGGGCAGGGAGGGGGGAGGTGAAGGCGGAGGGAACCTCGCAGGCGGGCAGGCGGCTGTCTCAACGTGCCTGCTCCCCGCCCCCCTTCGCCAGAACCGGTTTGGCCAGTCTGGGGTACAAGAGGGGGGCTGGAACAATGGAAGTCCTATGCCCAGGAGAGGCTCTGAAGGACCCCAGACCGACACCCTAAAGATGGGGAGGCACTGCTTTTCCTCCCAGGGGACAGGTCACCTTCTTCTAGAGCTTCCCGAATGTGAGGCTGCTCAAGACTTCCCTTGGGCTGGGGAGCATCCTGGGGCCTTCGCAGGGAGCCTCTCAAGCCTTGGACTCCTCAGGGACCTTGAGAACTCCTTGGTGAGCTGACCTCTCTGAGCCACTACAGCATCTATAAAATGGGAACACTCATCTCTATGGTTGGGAGATGGAAATCATGAAGGTAGGTGATGTGATGCATCTGCCATCATCCCGGCCAGTCCTTCCAGCATCACCGCTCCTCATGAATAACCCATCTCATCATCTCTAACAGCCTCCTCCTCCAGGAAGTCTTCCCAGACTCTAGTCCACACCCAAGGAGCCCTCCATAAACCAATTCAAACAGCCCAAGCAGAACCAGTGCCAGGGAAGGAGGGCCTACTCTGTGCCTGCCATGCAATGTTCCCAACCTGGGGAAGGGGAAGCTGCTTTCTCCCTCATGCTACCTGCTATTCCTCTGAGCATGCAGGCACTTCTGTAGCCACATGAATATGTACATACCAACTAATATTCATGTTTCTAATAACTCATACTGTACACTCACTATGTGCCGGCACTCACTGTTCCAGATACTGTTACAACTCTCACTTCTGAGATGAGGACATGAGGCTTTCAGGTTGTAATGGGCATTATCCCATTTAAATCTCTCATTAGCTCTATGAAGTCCGTATCCCAGAGATGATGAAATGGAGGCTCTAGGGATTAAATAATTTACTCAAGGTCATGCGGCTAATAAGAGTCAGAACTGATGTTCAAAATCCAGGTCTGCCTGACTCCACCACCAACCTGTGTCTTTAATCACTGCCCTGTGCCACCGCGCCAGGCTTTGGGGACAACCAGCTGGGTCAGTGACGGCGAACCTTTTGAGCTCGGTGTGTCAGCATTTTGAAAAACCCTAACTTAACTCTGGTGCCGTGTCACATATAGAAATTTTTTGATATTTGCAACCATAGTAAAACAAAGACTTATATTTTTTATATTTATTTTATATATTTAAATGCAATTTAACAAAGAAAAATCAACCACAAAAATGAGTTCGCGTGTCATAGGTTCGCCAGCACTGAACTGGGTGAAGTGTTTGAAAGTCTGCTGGGAGGTGTCTCAGCTGACCTAACTAAGTCCTTTATTATTATTCATACACTACAGGCCTTAATGGACATATGGGGCAGGGCGTCCAGGCCCCAGGCCCCAGTGAACTCTCCCCCTATCAACTAGTG